TTAGCTACTCTTGCCCAGTGAGTTTAGGTAGCCCTCACTTTGAATTACTACAGAACTGCTGGAGCTTCATTGCAGTTCGCATATTTTGTCTAAGGGAACTTTCAGGAAGGTTTAGCGACTTTCTAGGAAATTCTGCAAACTTTATGGAACTGTAGTGAAGTTTATTGAACTTCAGGGAAGTTCTACAAACTTCAGGAAAATTCTTTAAACTTTTAAGATATGCTTCGATCTTCAGAGAAGGTCTATAAACTTTTGGAAAATTCTGCCAACTTCAGGGCCTTTTGTCAGTTTCAGGGGAGTGCAATGTCCTCCTGGTAAGTTCTACGCACTTCAAGAGAGTTCTGTGAATTATAGCAACATTATATGAATTTCAATGATACTCCGCAAAAAGTTCTTTAAACGCCAGGAAACGTTTGTAAACTTTAGGATGCTCTGTGAACCACAGGGAAAATTTGATAACATTAGGGAAATACTGGGAACTTAAAGAAATATCTGAGAATTCCAGGAAATGCTAAATTCAGAGACGTTCTGTGAACTTCAAAGATGTTCTAAGAACATCAGGAAAGTTTGAAGAATTTCATCGAAGTTCAACGAAATCAAGGAAAAACTTCTATAAACTGTCTCATTGGGTTGCTGGTGGAACAACTTACACTTCATGTCTTAGAAAAAAGGTATGATAGAGAGGATTTGTTGTGATATCGCTTTCTCTTTTACGCTTCTCTTATGAAATGTGATCGACGATAACGCTTCAAATTGGGTGGTTGCTGCAAATGCGACTCAGCATACGCAATTTGGATTCGCTGGTCGCCATAGTAGGTGCTTAACAAACGTGTAGTTTTGGACGGATGCAATTTTGATCATCAGCTAAAGATTTTGGACAATCTGGATCCTACTATCCGACTGACGTTTTTTCTGACTACATTTTTGAATTCATCGCTCGATTTTACATGGGAAATGACCATCAGCGACAAAGTTCAAATATGCTGTAAACTAGTGTAATAATAGTAAATTTAGAGACTAAACCATTGCTATTAACTTATTTTATTTATTTAAACATGACAAAGTTACGATATCTTACGGTACCGAAGAAGGAATCTTACTGTTCCAGTGAAATGTAGTATTTTGACAACTTTAATCTCTTTTTGAATCATTTTCAGCTGAATTTGTTTCTATCCTTAACAGTTTTGTATCGTCAATAGTCCACACCCAACCGGTGGATGTAAGATTCGCTTACAATTATGTGGGATTCATCATCAGAGGATGTAAGTGGAGACCGCATGAACCGAGGATGCGATATACCTAGCTGCGGTCCAATGCAAGAAAATTGGAGACCGAAAAATGTAGAGTGTATTAGTGAGGTAATTTTATTGTGTCGAAAAAAAATAGGAATTTGGTTGCCGACTGGACTTCGACCACGAACATTGCGATTATCAGACCTGTGCTTTCTCCACTGCTCTCTCCATGTTCCTGAATATGGGCAGCCTAAAAGCAAACATGAAGCGCTCATTTTCTCGCATGCTCGACTTCGTATGCTTTTTCTGCTGGAGATATTCGAGACAAGTGTGTGCGTCGTTCTACAATGTTCTACAATGTGCGTCGTTCTACAAGCTTACTGGTATAGTCGAAAGCATAGATAGTTCACGAAATGAAAAGACAAAAAACCATTACGGAACTAACATTCATTGTAATAGAGGCATTCGAGGCAAGTGTGTGCGTCGTTCTACAATGTTCTACAACGTGCGTCGTTCTACAATCTTACTGGTATAGTCGAAATATCCACGCTAACACGAAATAAAAAAAGACAAAAAACCATTACATCGCTTGCATGGTCAATTCCTAACATTCGTTGCGATGTTCATGAACAGAGGATGATAGGAAACGGAACTAACATTTATTGTAATAGATTTTTGGTTTGCGTGCATATACGCCTTCCTAAACGCCTAAGTATGCTTCAAAACACTTTTTCTCAAAAAACCCAAGATGAAATATTTTAAAACCTTCACAGATTTGATTGTTAGGATCAATATTAACTGCATGTGATGAAAAAACTGAGGTACATGAAAGTTGCAAAACAAGTGTCTTCAGACATAGCGTGCGGTGTTGGCTACGATCAACCGTGTGAAAGCGCTGATGCTTACTCACCAGCGAATGTTTTCCCAGCACTTTATGCGTATCAACGATACATTCATCGCAGGGGAAAATATCAGCACGTTCCAGCTTGGCGAGAGGCGAAGGAAAAAAACCGTCATAACAGAGCTGGGTATCGAGAACGGCGAGACTCTAAACAGCTCCGAAACAATTGAAAACCACCTACTAAACTACTTCAGGGAGCTTTACAGCGTCTGACGAGAGCGAGGAGGCACAATCTTCTTTCCACTGCGAACGAGTGATTCCAGAAAGCGACGAGCGAAACGAGGCGTGTATGGCTGAAATAACAACAGCAGAAATAATGTCATCTATTCGCACATCGGCTAAAAGGAAGGCTGCTGGCAGCGACGGGCTTCCCATCGAATTTTACCAACGTACGTTCGATGTCATGCACCGAGAGTTAAATGTTAAATCTCGTTTTAAACGAAGCTATGACCACGGAGCTTCCCGTTGAGTTCGTCAACGGAGTGATCGTGCTTGTACGAAAGAGATGAACTGTAAACACGGCACGAGGATACCGACCGATCAGCCTTCTAAACGCAGACTACAAAATCCTCAGCCGTATACTCAAATCTCGTTTGGAGATTGTGTTGAGGTCGTACCCGGTTTTGAGCGATGCGCAGAAGTGCTCTAACGAAGGGCACTCAATTTTTCAAGCAACTCAAGACCAACAATTGAAATGGCCTCAACTCCATTTTGTAAACAAACCTTGTAAGGCCATTTTCTCGCGAACCGAAGTCCGCAAAAGCAAACCATCATAATGAACAGGTAGGAGGAATTCTTCTCTACCCGATTGTGGTTTAGTTTTGCAAATGTAGGTTTTGGTTCGCGAGAAAATGGCATTACAAGGTTTGTTTACAAAATGGAGTTAAGGCCATTTCAATTGTTGGTCTTGAACTCTTTCTCTGAAGGATCGCATTGCAGAGCTGATAGCGAGGAAGCGGAGAGGGAAACTAATAAGCTAAGATCTCGATCACGCTTTCGATCAAGTGTCCCACTCATTTCTCTATGGAACAATGCGGTAGTTGGGGATAAACCCAGCCTTCGTCGGTTTACTGGCTCGTATTGCTGGACAATCTTCGTCTCGCCTGCTGGTCAGCGGGCATCTCTCGCAGAGCTTCGCCATCGAACGTTCGGTTCGCCTTTGTTTATGATACTGTTCGTCATCTACCTCCATCCGTTTCTGATACAAACGGAAGGGACTCGTCGGCCCCGATCTCGTGGTGGCTTACGCAGATGATGTGTCTGTTATAGTTACCAATACACGCGTGATTGAGCGCATCAATGACCTGTTCGGACGTTTTGAACGTGCCGCCGGCGCAAAGCTCAATAGATTGAAAACTGTTGCAATCAACGTCGGGCTCATTGATGGAGATCCACTGAATGTGCCATGGTTACAAACAGTAGAAACGGTGAAGATTCTTGGCATTTATTTCACTAACTCAATCCGCGCAATGACTAAGGTTTATTTGGATGCTCAAGTTACCAAATTTGCTCAACATTTGTGGCTGCACTCGATGAGGGGACTTAACCTTCAACAGAAGGTTATTTTGCTAAATACCTATAAATATCACGGCAAGGATTTGGTACGTGGCATCAATCCTTCCACCATATTGTGTCCACACAGCGAAAATCACAGCAACCATGGGTTCCTTCTTGTGGCCCGACCAACCGGCGCGGGTTCCTATGGAACAATTGGCACAAGGCAAAGCATCTGGCATACTAAAATTGCAGCTACCGGCACTCAAATGCAAAGCGCTTCTGGTGAACCGTCACTTACAGGATAGTGGCTCCCTTCCCTACTTTCAGTTCCTTCTGAACCAAGCAATTCCTCCTCCCGCAGATTTTCCTTGCCTTAAACTATTAGCCCAACAAATTCCACTTCTCCCCCCACTTATCTGAGAACACCCCTCCAGCGACCAAATTCATCGTGTTCTTCTGGAGCGGACAGATACACCACGGGTCGAGAGAAAATATCCTGGATGAAACTGGAGACATATATGGACGAATATCGGGTCGAAACAACTGTCATCAAGCCATCGAAGCAGCTTGTATATGTTGATCAACGAGAAGACGGAGCATAGAAGGTTGATGAAGATCATCCAACGGGTAGACGGCGAGAGCTGCTTGCACTGCAACGCTACGGTTGAAATATTGCAGCACAAGTTCAGCGGCCGCCCCCGCGTGACGCACGCATGGGCTTCCATACAGCAGAGGACTACGACGATACTCGGCGGCTGGCAAAGGCTGTCCATCGAGGATCTGCTTCGACCAGAACTTCTGAACATAGGGCTAAGAAAACGAAACGAAATTTTGAAAATCTTTGTATTGTACATCGACTCTGTTAATTCTGTTAACGATAGAATAGATGTTAGTGCCCTAAATTTTTACATCGATTGTGAACAATAATACGTGTAAATTAATGTTTTAACACAGAAATAAACAATACTTTCACAAAAAAATAAATTAACACAACCAAATACGAAGTTTGACCCATTCAATGAGATGAGTGGATGTATTTAATGGTAAACAAATATCAAAAACTGAATAAATAAAACTAGATGAACCTTTTCAATTCAACTCAGATTTTTGTCTTAAAATAAAAATTTCTCGATATTTTTCCAATCTTTTTAGTAAGCACAGATGCATTCAATCACATTGCACGTTTCTTTTTAAAATGATCCCTCCAAAATAAGTGTTAAATCATTAAAAGCCAGTTTTCTCATGCCCAGTTTTTTTACAGCTGGGACTGACTTACGATTATGGGCAGTTACCTAACATGTTACTGCCTTGTTTCGACAGGATGTGATATAAATGAAAACATCACCTAATTACCACATTTCGAACGAACATCATTTTATTAGGAAGGAATCTTAAGCTATCCTACAAATCAATCAAATCCAACTTACCCTCTAGGCGAAAATCTTCTCCTCCCTTCTCTTCTTAGTAACCACCGTTCCCGGCTTATGCTGCGCATCCGGGTGATTCATCAGTTCCGGTGGGCACACCGACACCGGACTGGCGGCAACGATCAGCTTCAAGTCGTAGAACAAGTGACTGTCATCCTTGGTGCAGAACGAAATAGCACAACCCGTCTTTCCGGCACGACCAGTACGACCAATACGATGGGTGTAATCCTCGATGGACTTGGCCATGTCGTAGTTGATGACCAGCGATACATCCTTGATATCGATACCACGACCAGCAACGTCCGTGGCCACCAGAATATCCTTGGATCCATTTTTGAGCGAAGCGAGGGCGTACTCTCGCTGTTCTTGACCTTTGCCACCGTGCAGCGTACAGGCATTGTAACCGAGTTTTTCCAGACCTTTGGCCAGCACGTCCGCTCCCTTCTTCTGGTTGACGAAGATGATGCACGGAGGTTCCACTCCACGGGACAGGATTTCCATGAGCTTCTTGCGCTTCTCGTTTTCACCCATAATGTGCACGATCTGTTCGGTTCGCTCGGTAGGTTTACCAACGGAACCGATGTACACTGTTGCCGGACGCCGAAGATAGGTTCGAGCCAGCCGTTCTACCGCTGGAGGCATAGTAGCAGTGAACATGACAGTTTGGCGATACTTTTTCTTGGTGTTGAAGTTTTCCATCAGCTTGGAAGCATCCTCGGCTTCTTCGGTGTCCGGTTTCAGGTTAGTCACGGGCATGTACTCCAGAATCTTCTGGACGTCCGGTTCGAAACCCATGTCAATCATACGATCAGCTTCATCCAAAACGATGTACGTACACTGATTCAAGACCAAGTAACGATTCTCCAAGACGTCGATCAAACGACCGGGAGTTGCAATGACAATCTCGCAACCAAGTCGAAGTCGGAAGCCTTGCTCTTCTCGGGACAAACCACCAACGACGACGACCGTGCGGATGCCCAAAGGTTGACCAAACTTCTGAGTCTCCTCTTCGATTTGTTGAGCCAATTCTCGCGTTGGAGCCATAATGATTGCATACGGGCCTTGGTCAGCCGTTTCTAATCGATCAATTTTCGGAAGCGATTGAATCCAGGACAGCAATGGGATCAAGAAGGCCAGTGTCTTACCGGAACCAGTTTCAGCAATACCGATAATGTCCCTATTTTGAAGACCAATCGGAATGGCCTGTCTCTGAATGGGCGTGGGCTCCTTATAGCCAACTTTGTCAATGATCTCCAAAATCTCCTTTGCAAAACCTGTTTCGCTCCAGTTTCTGAAAGGATTGGGAATTTTGCCTCCCTTAATTGTGATGTTATAATCTTCCCGGAAGATACGCCAATCACGCTCGGTCAACTCGTCGCAATCCTTCTCGGACCAATGGCGATCGTCCCATTTCTGCTTGTCTTCCTTCTTCTTGACCTTCTTCAAACGAACCTTCTCCTGCTCCTTCTCGGCATCTGTCCGACGTTTTTCCAAAAGATCTCCGTAGAACTTGCTTTGCTTCCGCTTCTGGTCTTTGATGTCAATTCCGGCAATGTTACCCCGGCCGAAGAACTGCACATGATGGCGTTCTTTGTACAAATTGTTATAATCTATGGAAGTGTCCTCGGCAGCATCCCAATCAAACACGAATTTCCTATCGTTCAGCCTCCTCACCCTTCTCTTCTTCTTAATGATTCCCAGATATCTCTCTCGGATCGCTTCCTGTTCCTTTTCTTTATCCTTAACGGTGGTGTCTTCGGTGGTTGTAGAACGCCGTTTATCATCATCCTTTTCCTTGCCATCCCTCTCCCGTTCCCTGTCTCTTCCTCTTTCCCGTTCACGTTCTCTCTCCCTCTCCCTCTCCCTTTCCCTTTCCCTTCGATCGTATTTTTCCAGGGGATCCTTCTTTTCTCTATTCAACAGCGTCGTAACTGGGACATCTCCAAACTTGGGAACTCCACCCGAAGCAGCTGCTCTCATTGCAGCTACTTCCTCCTGTCTTCTCTTTAGCGCTTCCGCCGCTCTTTGCTCCTTCGTTATAAACACCGGCTTACTCCTTGCATCTTCTTCCGCTTTCTTTTTGGCCAACAATTCTTCCAATGAAAGCGGTTCCTTTTTGGCCTTTTCCGCTTTCTTCCCCAACTCAGCTTTTACTTCCTCAACATCATCGTCCTTCTTGTCCTTTTCCTCCTTCCGTTTCTTCTCCTCGCGATCCCGCTCCCTGGAGCGAGACCTCTTCCTGTCAGAACCAAAACCAACATGCATACGATCTCGGTCCCGATCCCGATCTCGCTCTCGTTCCCTTTCGCGCTCCTTCTCACGATACGTTTCTCTGTCGCGAATATCCCGATCGCGTTCTCGCTCGTACTCCCGTTCCCGGTAGCGGTCACGGCCACGATCCCGTTCCAGATCGATTCTTTCACGGGACCGCGAGCGACGCTTTTTGTCACCGGCCATGGTTAGCTGGAATTTTCTGGAAATTACTGATCGGTTTTATGCATCCAAATAAAAAACGTTTACAAACCTTTAAACGCAACTTTCGATGTGAGTTGTCCTTCAAACAACAGAGATAATAACAAATTCAACGGGATGACTGGAACGATTTGCCGAAACCAGATGTTAATACTTTCACACAACACTGAGCTGAATAAAGTAATGTTTGGTAGTTCATTTAGTTAATTTCCTTGCAAGTTGAAGCAGAACCAATTTCCCTGAATAAAAATTCAATTCAGCAATCGTACGCAGAATATAAACACATAAAAGCATCGGTGCGCAAATGACAGTTAGATTAAAAATAAAAATAATAAAAAATCCTGAAGGGCGCATACAGTGAGAAACGAAACAACTCAAAATTAAGTATTTTATACCTTGTACAGACATACAAAGTTCACTGTTGTACTACCGTTGTACTGCTTTAAGCTAGTACCACAAATTGTACGTTTTGAGGTACTTGATTAAAGGAGTACAACCAACAATCAATACGAAACTAACGATTTTAAATTGGCTCACCACTTTAGTAGCCTATTGGTCCCAAGCAAACGATTAACGTACCCTATTCTAGTTGAAATTCTATTACTGCACTATGTTTGTTTTGATTCGCTATGAAAGTTTGACAGATAACATCAGGGGTGTGTGGATTCATGCAGAACATGCAGGGGTGAGTGAAATAGCTTGGGACTGCTTGGGACCGTTGTTCTGGTACTGAGTGAGCCAAAAATAATAATGATTTTCTTCGGGACCCAGTAGTCTTAGAGTTACCTCTATGGTACAACGGTACTAATTTGTATGTCTGTCTGTGGTATTATACTCTTCTTCACCTGCGTGAAAAACGAGGGGGGGCGACACTTCTAAATCTCAATTCTAGATGCTCAACAAATCTCACACTACACGAAACGAAAATCAATTATTTAATTCATGTCTTTCACTTATACATTTTTGCCAAAGCCTCAGCCTTATACATTCCATAAGACAAACTACATAGGTCCTACTAGAATGCATAAAAGGTATGTGTGACCGCTTATAGATTTCATTTGACACATGATCTTTATTAACTTTTTGCAAGGCGTCTGCTTATTAGTTGACTTATACATTTTATGAATAATCAGCAATGGAAATTTGCCAAAAGGTATAAGGAGATTTCTATCCGTGTAGCGAATCAATCTTCGAAAATTTTCTTTCATTTCTCGCATCTTTCTGCTCAGTAAGCAAGCCACTGCAACCGACGATCTTTGAAATCCTTGAACTAAAAGCTACGAAAGAGGCCTTCATTAAGATCCACTTTCACGCGACGTTAAATGTTTCGATTTTCTCTTTACGCATGGTTCAGGCAATCATAACAAGCTATGACCGACGTGACGATTGTTTGAGACCTGGTTAAACAAGCTATTCAAATGAAAATACGTTCTCGAATTTCACTTGGCATGTAATGAACAACAGAAATACGCGATAATTCATATTTTCGCTATCTGTTACTGTTTCCAAAATATCTAATGGCAATTACCTTTGTTGTAATACTTCCTGTATTGCCATGGTCATCTGGGAGGAAGGTCGCATGTAGTGCTTTCCCCAGGAACCGTTCACGGCCACCAGCTACTGCCCGTCCAGTCTTGGGCGTATCCAGCGAGGCATCCTTCAGATTACTTACAATCTCCGACACTCAATGCAAATCGCAGGCACACTTACGCTAGTTACAAAAAAAAACACACCCGTGCAAAGAAACGGATCAAATAAACGTCACTCTCGTGAAAGCACACCCGTCGTCGTCGAACAGCTTTCTGGATCTTTAGTTGCCTCTGTGATATACTTACTTGCGGCATACTATTTTGGGAGTGTATATGAGCGTGTACCATGTACGGTAGCTCATATCTCATTGTGATGGTGGGACATAGTAGACAAATTAGAGAAAAAAAAAAACAAAAAAGAAGGAGGTATTAGTATTAGTTATATGTAAACAAACAAACAAAAGAAGAGAAGAGGAAACAAGAGCAGAAACATAAGAAAGGGGATAAAGTAGATAAGAAAGAAAAGAAACGTAGGCAGATTATTAGAAAAGGCATTATCCGAGACTCAGCAATCAAATGTCACTCCCACCGAGAAGAAGGAAGTCACCGGTGATGGAGTTTCTGTGCGAATAAAAAAAAAACGAAACAAATAAGCGAGCAAATAAATATAATACCGTTCCGATTCAAATTTCGGACGATTCAAATTTCGGACACTTTCATTTTTAATTAAATATTACATCCAGTTAGAAACAAAGTAATAATGTTAGATGATCGTGGAGGGCACTAGTCAAAAAAATTAAAAATTTACAAGACATGTGGATCATATTCGACCGAGATAATCAACTTTTAAAAGTGTCCGAAATTCGAGTTTAAGTGTCCGAAATTTGAATCGGCACGGTACATAACATAACAAGAAAAAAAGAAAAAGAAATGTATATATTTGTACGCACTTATTTTTTTAATTATAGTCACTTTAACACTTTTGGGTCATTCGTGACTTGTCCGGGGGTGAGATTTGAATTCGTGACTTTGGCGTGAGATGTATGGATGCTAACCTCTACGCCGGGGTCGTTCCCTGTACGCACTTAATCTAGCTCGGTAAAATCTCCAACAGTCGATTACCTCGGCATTTACTTTTGCTTATATCTCTGCAAAATATCTGTTTGTTAGCTGATATCTCCGCAAAATGTTATTTGTTAGCTGAGTCTCGGCAATTGTTTTACTGGATCTCAGCAAAATAAATTGCAAAACTGCTCGGCTGTTGGAATCCCGGCGAAAAAATTTAAGTTTGATATATATGTATACCGAGGGGTGCGGCACATCTAAATCTCGATTTTAAATGGTCGAAAAATCTCACACTAGCGAATCAATCAACGAAAAATCTTTTTTCATCTCTTGTATCTAAGCCCATCTACTCGCATCACTCTTCACCTTTTTGCAGGAAATCTTCAAAATCATAATCAATCGTGTTTATATCTATTAAGCGCGAGTGCATCTCACAACAGCAAAGCATAACATTTCCTGCATCTTAGATAGAGTCGCCCCCCTCGATGTATACATGGTGCTAGCATAGAGGTAACTCCCCGCATAAACAATAACCATAAAATGCGCCTAACCACCAATTCGGGATATCATCCCAATTTTATGTGGTATGGTCGCACCACCTAAGATATCGTCAGTATATGGTACACGTTTATTAGGGTCTAAAGGCCGGCGCACAATAGATACGTTTTCGGGTTTTTTGACAGATAATGCATGGGCTAACTGTTAAAAAACCCGAAAACGTATCTATTGTGCGCTGGCCTTAAGACTAGAAGGTCCCGAAATAACGTGCTCAACTTTTTGGCTCAGCTCTGGTACTCTCTTCGGTCCCAAGCTAATCGATTCACCCCTCGAAACATAGGAAAATCCATTAACCCCTCATTTTATCTGTCAAACTTTCATAGCGATTCAAAAAAAAACATTGTGTAGTACTAGAATTTTGACTGGAATGGGGTACGTTAAACGTTTGCTTGGCACCAATAGGCTAGTCAAGTAGTGCGTCAATTTGAAATCGTTAGTTTCCACCGGTTGCTAGCACCATCTATCATCCACATTCCCAAGCATTGATGTGCAGCTAGAGCATCCCTCGTTCATGCCATTTTTTCACCAGTTGCTTTTCCCTCGTTCTGTCAACGCGTCAGCTGTGTTGAATAAAAACAAGACAGATCTATAGAATTGACTGAATTCTGCAGAAATAAGGATACGTTGGAAAAATTCACAGAAGCTAAGACTTTTTTTTTAGGGATTTGTTTTGTTTGTTTAGTGTGCTTTTTCTTTCGCTGGAAACAAGTTTTTAAACGAGGCAATGCATCACAAATTAGCATAGAGGTAACTCTAAGACCACTGGGTCCCGAAGAAAATCATTATTATTTTTGGCTCACTCAGTACCAGAACAACGGTCCCAAGCAGTCCCAAGCTATTTCACTCACCCCTGCATGTTCTGCATGAATCCACACACCCCTGATGTTATCTGTCAAACTTTCATAGCGAATCAAAACAAACATAGTGCAGTAATAGAATTTCAACTAGAATAGGGTACGTTAATCGTTTGCTTGGGGCCAATAGGCTACTAAAGTGGTGAGCCAATTTAAAATCGTTAGTTTCGTATTGATTGTTGAAATTAGTGCCCTTTCTACCACTGCTCATAACTTTAATGTGTGTACAGCAAAAAAAAATATAATATGTATCAATCAATGCAATTCATGGTGAAGTATTGAACATCAATAACTGGTAAAAGGGGTAAGGTTGATAGAATATTACAGTCATCAACATGATTTGTTCTTGAATTCTGTGTTAATCGTACAGCGTAATATCAACAATCAATACGAAACTAACGATTTTAAATTGGCTCACTACTTGACTAGCCTATTGGTCCCAAGCAAACGATTAACGTACCCCATTCTAGTCGAAATTCTAGTACTACACAATGTTTGTTTTGATTCGCTATGAAAGTTTGACAGATAAAATGAGGGGTCATTGGATTTTCCTATGTTTTGAGAGGTGAATCGATTAGCTTGGGACCGAAGATAGTACCAGAGCTGAGCCAAAAAGTTGAGCACGTTTCTTCGGGACCTACTAGTCTTAGAGTTACCTCTATGGTAATATCACAAACGAAGTGACAGACGGAGCGACTCGAAAACTTTGGTGACGCACCTGCTATTGCAATTTTTCAGTGTACCACATGGCAACACTACTACTACCAACAATCAATACGAAACTAACGATTTTAAATTGGCTCACCACTTAAGTAGCCTATTGGTCCCAAGCAAACGATTAACGTACCCTATTCTAGTTGAAATTCTATTACTACACTATGTTTGTTTTGATTCGCTATGAAAGTTTGACAGATAACATCAGGGGTGTGTGGATTCATGCAGAACATGCAGGGGTGAGTGAAATAGCTTGGGACTGCTTGGGACCGTTGTTCTGGTACTGAGTGAGCCAAAAATAATAATGATTTTCTTCGGGACCCAGTGGTCTTAGAGTTACCTCTATGCTACTACTGGATTGTACCAACAATCAATACGAAACTAACGATTTTAAATTGGCTCACCACTTTAGTAGCCTATTGGTCCCAAGCAAACGATTAACGTACCCTATTCTTGTCGAAATTCTAGTACTACGCAATGTTTGTTTTGATTCGCTATGAAAGTTTGACAGATAAAATGAGG